AAAAACGACAAAACACATTTGTCAGGCTGTCGATATAGCCTGACAAATGTGCGATTCTCGGTAATAGGCAATGATAGGCCATGCCAGGGAGCTACATGGAGGGCTCAGTCTTCAAGTTGCTAAACTTTGTAAAAAGGATAGTACTGGAGAATGTAACCTAAGGATCAGAAGAGGACCACAATAGATCTGAGAAGGTCGGAGTGGAACAGGCCAAGAGTCATATCTAGGAATCTAATATCTAGAGAGGGGAAGTCTTAAATAAAAGCAAATATTTTTAGGGTTGGTAGATCTCGACCAGGGTCGATGGCTCGAAATAAGTCCAAAATAACCGAATTATTTAAGTTCGAATATTTAATAAAATGATTTATTTTTAAAAAATTTGAGAGCTATTCGTTTTAGTGCCGTAACCATAGAGCAAAGCTATTACCATGTTAATATCAGAGATTAAGGAGTATTTGCGGTGGATAGGCAGTTCTGGAAATTTCTCTAAAATATACAGGAAAATTTGAAAGAAAATGCACGATTTTCAATATCTTTTTCACCCCTAAAATAATTTGCGCTTATTTAAGACTCACCCTTTAAATGTTTTCTGAAGCTCATTTAGACTTTTTTATGTAAACATTACATTATAATGCCTCAATAATATTCTTAAAGGGGCAAGCTACGTCGAAACACCGGTTCCCATTAGAACACCGAAGTTGAGCGACGTAAGGCGATACTAGTGGATGGACGGATGACCGGTTCGAAACTCTGTATCGTGCTGTTGTCCAAAAAAAAAGGCAAAAGTGTAAAATCTATTGACACACACTGGATGAGATCGGATATCTCGTGAGTGAGAGTCGATTTAGACACTTGCCAAGTCGGTAGGCCATTGACCATGATATGGCCGTGGATCGCGGTTCGGATTCCGCGTAAATAAAGTAGGCCCCGTCCAGATTAGCCCTGGCAGCAAAAAGGAGACGTTAACTGAAATCTTTACTTTACTTTTTAATATTCTTAAAAAATATATTTTATTGCTAGATATGTGCTATTTTTTGCCTCCCTGGCTTGTCTGTCATTAGTTGACTCAAATTCTGTTTAATTTATACTTATAAGAATATATGTATGGAAAAAAGCAATTTGGATATTTTTAGTCATATTTTCAAAATTGTTTATTATTTAAAATTTCATTTATAAGGAATGAAGTGAAACTTCAATTTCTGAAGAAATATTTTTTTAAATGGCAGCGAAACTTGAGCGATATTTGTTTTCGTTCTTAAATATGCAAATTATGGCATTTGGGGCTTTTATCCGGCCAGATCTGTCACGAAAATAGAAAATAAAAGAAAGAATAATGGAAGGAAACGGGCGAAATACGAACGAATTTCGAGGGTCATTGTCGAAAACGTAATTACGGGTCCGCGATCCGATGTTTAACTTGCAAATTAAACAATTTTGGGGAAAAATTGCGAAATACATAATATATCAAGACGGCGGCGACGGAGTTGCTGTTTTTTTTTTCTTTTTTTCTGCTTCTTTCCATCAGTCGCGCTGCAAAGCTCCAAAACAAATAAACAACAATTTAATCTAACAAATGTTTTAGTTTATCAAAAAAGCAGGTAAATTTTCCTTTCTTCGTACTAATAATAAGGTTAAAATAAACTTTAACTTAAAACTCGTAAACTCTTTATTCTTAACCGTGCTTCATCCCTTAAACATACATACATATATCCATTATTAAAATGGAACCATTGTTAAGAAACACATATTCACTAGAGATGGGCAAATCGACTAATTATAAACAGCTGTTAAAGCAATTACTACTTCTAAATAACATATTTCAAAAAGGCAGCCGAAAAGTAGCAGTTTTTCCAGTTTTATCACTGCCGAAGCGCCGCACTGCAATTCATCGCCATTATCGTTTCTGCTTTACGTGCATAGTTGCACAGCCTCTTAGCTGTTATTTTAGTTTTGCTTGTATTGCGACTAAAGGTTAGTATTATCACCTACCCGCTATGGTACAAGCATAATATGATAAAACACCTAATTCTTGTAAGCATTCGACTAGCATTCGACTCTACCTGTTACATGTAGAACGAATTACCCAGGTTAGTGTGATATCCTTTCTAAGCTTTTAATATTATATATTTTGGTAGTGAGACAATGCCATAAGGATAAATAATAAAAATAATTTACCATAACCGAGCAAAGCAGTAGTCAAAAGTTTTTGGCTATCCGACTAATGGAAATAAACAAACCTGGTAGCGATTTGGTCCCAGAATATATAATTAAGGTAATTATTTATATTATTCTTCTACTATTTCCAGTGTTGTTTTATTTATTAGAATGTCTTTTCTTTCTATTAGTTCGGTGTACATTACTTTAGTTTTTGCTAAATTCATTTTAAGACCCACTTACGTACTTACATATACTGACAGAAAAGGTGAATTTAGTGCAGACTGCTTTAAAATATACACTCAATTCAACTGTCCTATAATTTTATTTACGTCAAAGATGAGTCATTTAACAATTAGTGCTATCAAAGGAATTTACTTACTTAAAAAAAGCTTTACAGTTTGGTGTTAATGCGCATTCTCACGACTCATATACTTGACAAATATTTGTAATTGGTATACAGAGTATACATGGTGCAGCGGGCATCTATACAGAATTTCCAAGTTACTTATTATAGGAATTACGCCGCATTCCCGCCAGACCCTGTATGCCAATAAAAAATACTTGCCAAATAGACGAGTCGTGAGAATGCGCCTTTAGGACAGCAAAATAAACTACTAATAAAATGGACCCGATTAGTATTGTAAATTTGATTTCGAAGTAAATTATGGAAAAATATAACGAGAATACAAGGCAGTTGATACCAAAAAAAATCATGCAGGCGGTATGAAAAAGAATTACAGTAAAATGTTATCTGGGCTGAAATTAAGTCCGTAAAGGCGTGTTTTACGTACGATTAAATCAGTTTGAAATACGGAAACAACAAAATATTACAAGGGTATTACTGTGGCTGCGATAATGTATACCCTATGGATTAAAATTAGTGTACATCGTATGCCGTTTACTCGCCAATATCACCTACTATTTCCGCCTATCCTCGTTCCTAACTAAGTGACAATGCAAAATCCATCGAACTCTAATATCTGATCGTTACCTATTCTCTTCGTGGATTATGGATGACCCCCGCCTTGTTTATTCATCGAGTGGCATTAGTAGGTAGGTCGCTGCAGGGAATGCTTACGTCCGGCCCTGCTTCCGACAGGTTCGATTCCCAATCCATAAGTAAAGGCCTCCGATGTGGTTGAAATGACCGGAATACACATCCCATATTGAAATAGTTCCTAAAAATTGCCAGTTAATAACATAAAAGGCCATTTCTGGCTCATAAGTGTGGGTAACCCGATAATACCGGATCAGTCCCCAGCCGATATGGTTTTTATCTAATTGGAGCAACCAACGAGCCGACACCTCAAGGAACGCAATGGAAACCCACCTTGAGTACATTTGCGTAGTATACAACCTCTTAAACAAGTAACATTTGGATTTGACGATAATTTAACTGTAGGTCCCGTGTACTTGAAAAAAAATTGAAAAAAATTAAGGACATAGATCACAAACCCAAGTATAGTTCATATCAAATAAACTTTTAGTCACGTGATTAAGCTTGACCGGCATAGTTTTACATATTGTTTTTAAATCAAAATATTTTAGGAAACAAAAATAAATTAATTATAAATATACAGGGTGTCCTAGAAATAAGTGCAAGTATTTTAACTGATAGTATATTTCTTGCGTCAGAAACACGCCTCTGTAAGGTATTTTTGGCGAAAAAAAATTTTGAAATTTTGGAATTTGTGGAGATTTTTTTTTGGTTTTAATCTCGGTTCTAAGTTAAAAAACATAATTTCTTGATAATATGGCAACATAGATAGTAGATTAAATTTACATGAAACAAAATCTAAAAAAGATCCAGTGGTTCTCAAAATTTAAGCAAAAAATATATTTTTTTTTAATTTTCAAAGTAAAATAACTCGGTTATTTTGGACTTATTTGAAAAACGGTAGAGAATGATTGTTTCTTTTGACCAGATCTACCACCCCTTTAAATACTTGCACTTATTTCTGGGACACCTTGTATAAACAGTTGTTATTTACATCAACAAAACTAATCTTCTTAAGAGCACTTAAGGACCACAACCACTTTCCCGTTCAAAATATTCTAATAAAGTTGCAATAAGTTTTTTACAGCTATTAAGCTATCTTAGCACTAAGAGAGGTTCTAAAAAGATCAATGTTCGACTGCAAGGTCTGCTAGTAAACATTTTTAAGCTTAAAGTATCACAACACTATTTATTTAAAATAAAAACTCGTAATACAAAACTAAAGTGTCAGAACGAATGACAATGTCAGGAAATAAATAAATAAATGTGGCAACTTGACATTTTTTACAGCAGAGCTGCCACCTGAATCCCCAGCGGGATATTTAAATAGTTAGTTTAATCAGCCCGGCGCCGATTATGTCCATAGTTGGCAAAAATTAATTTGGATTACGTAACTAAAAGTTTAATTGGTATCAAATATACAAGCGTGATGTCGTCTATTCTCTACATTGCGCAAGGCATTGGAAGAATAACAAATTAATAAAGGCAGGGAAAATAACTGATACCACTGGCCTCCTGGTCTGCAAAATATTTTTATTTCTATAGCTCTGGTACCATTCCTGCTGATTCTTATGTAAAATGACGTCTTGAACCAAAATATTTTCCCTTTTCTTTTATCGCCCACCACTATCGGTTAAACCCCCTCCTCTTCATATTTATAATATTTTAATCATATATCGATAATAATAATAATTTTATGGATATGAAATTAATTTGAAAAGGTTAAGATAATTATTTTAGCTGTAAACAGTAACAAATAAAAATATCTCTTTATGAATCTTGGTTCTTGATTTTGATTTAAACCCTGATGTATAACTCTTTCGTCCCAAAAACCAGCAGTAGGGGAAAGTGGGGTAAGTTGACGAAGCGGGTAAAATGACGAATGTCGATAAAATCATTATAACGTAATATATTTCCATTCGCATAGGAAGCGCCATCTCGTTAGTGTACCCTGAAGTAACTCAAATAGTTTGGAAAGGCTTGGACGGCGTGCTTTTCTGTTAGAACTGATTTGTGGATTTCACGTGTGTCGGTAAACATTTTTCGTACAGTGTTTTTAAGGTTTACAGTGTTCCAAATTAAGGTAAGACCGAAATAAAATATTACATATAAAAAACTAGGTATATATGCATGTTATGCTAAAAAAGTTTGCATAAACAAAGCTATTTATTAAATATTTTCTCATGGAACATTAAACATAACCTCTAGGGGCAAGATGGCCCGGGTAAGTTGACGAGTTCGTCATCTTACCCTACTGATCGTCATTTTACCCCATTATTTAATTTATTACAGCTCCGAATGGAGAAATAAGTATTTCGTAAAATGTTGTGCTCTTTTTAGATGCCTCGAATATACCAAAGAAAGACAAACAGACGTGCGTGGGATGAAAATGCTATGATTGCGGCTGTGCATGAAGTATTAGATGGAAAATCTTGCAATGGTGTGGCTTCTCTATACGACATCCCAGAACCGACTCTGCGCAGGTATGTGAAAAAAATGAAAAATGATCTGCAACTACCGATGCATGGAGGGAGATATTCTACTACGTTTAATTTAAACCAGAGCCAGGCACTAGTAAATTATATTACCTTGATCGACAAAAGAGGTTTTGGATTGACAGCCATACAACTAAGGAAGTTAGCCTATGACTTTGCTGAAGAACAAGGAATAACACATCGTTTTAACAAGGAACGGAAACTAGCAGGAAAGGATTGGTTATCTAATTTCATTAAAGATAATAAAATAAGTCTAAGAACTGCTGAGGCCACTTCAGTTGCGCGTTTAATGTCTTTTAACAAGCCCGCTGTCCAAAAGTTCTTTGACATTCTACGCGAAGTTCTGGAAAAATACAAATTTAGTCCCGACAGAATCTACAACGCCGACGAAAGTGGCCTGTCGTCTGTTCCGTGCAAACTACCAAAAGTTTTAAGTCCAGTCGGGACTAGAAGAGTAGCTAAAGCTGTTTCGGCCGAACGAGGCAAAAATACTACTGTTGTGTGCGCAGTTAATGCAGTTGGCAACTATGTCCCTCCTTATTTTATATTTGGTCGCATTCGTATGAAGGAAGAATTACTCTATGGTGCTCCAATAGGTTCGGATGGCACTGCACAAAAAAATGGATGGATGTGCACTGAAATTTTTGTTAAATACTTACACCATTTTTCCAAATATGCTCATTCATCGCCGGAAACCCCTGTTCTTCTTATGGTAGACAATCACTCTTCTCACATATCTTTACCTGCAATCAACTATTGTAGGCAAAAGGGGATAATCATGATTGGATTCCCACCACATACAACACACAGGTTACAACCGCTTGATGTATCATTTTTTGGCCCGCTGAAGTCGTTTTTTAGCCGAGAATGCGACAATCATCTCGTAAATCACCCTGGGCAGCTAATTGGGGACAAACATATTTGTCAGCTATTTGGAAAAGCATATAATAGGGCCGCAACGGTATCAAATGCTGTGAACGGCTTTAAAAAATGCGGTCTTCAACCTTTTGACCCTTTTGTATTTGGCGACGACGATTTTGTAATGGCTGAAACAACTGAAAGGGCACCGCATCAACCACCCGTTTATCAAAATTCCGATAATGAATCTGATGATGATATTCCTCTAATAAATTTTGTGAAACCCCAAAAGGATATTGAGAAAAAATCAACAATAAATATGACTTCAAATTCCCCAACAAGTGAAATAGTTTCAAGCACACCTCGTCATTTCGAAAAAGTAACGCAAGTAAAAAGAAATCTGTTTAGGGCGGAAAATAAAGAAAATGAGCCAATTCCTGGAACGAGTCAAACCGATAATAAACTGAATGAAGTGACACTTCAAAAAATTCGACCTTTTCCAAAAGCCGAAAGGGGGGGAAATTGTAAAAGGAAGAAGTTGACAGCTAGTGTAATAACCAGTACACCCATTAAAGAACAGTTGGAGGATAAGGAATATCAGATAAGACAAAGAGAAGAAAAGAAACGAAAAATTATAGAAAAAAAAAGTCAAAAAATCCCTAAGAAGCTAAAAGAATCAACAATTGCTTCCAAAAAAGAGAAAGTAATGCCACTGACCCCTCCCAAGAAAACTAAAGAATCTATTTTCTGCCCTGGTTGTGATGAATTATACCAGGATCCCCCAGTGGAGGACTGGATTAGTTGCAGCAATTGCCAGTATTGGTGGCACGAAGCTTGCAGCAACTACAATGGTGTAAGTGAGTTCGTTTGTGATTACTGCTAAATCCATTATGTTAGTCAACTTACCCCATTATGTTAGTCATCTTACCCTTTAGTGGGGGTAAGATGACAGATTTGCAGTATATTAAAAAACATGTTTTGTTCAGTTTAAAATAATTTGTTTATTTTTAAATATATGTGTTTTTTATAGTAAAATGTGTGTGTTAATCAAAATAGAATACAACACTCTCGTAACTTGAAAATTTAAATAAAAAAATCTATATTTTGCTTAACATCGCCAACTTACCCCACTTTCCCCTACACCGCCTTGTAATATGCTTGCATTCCACTTCCCTGAAAATCCCTTCTCCAGCTTAGCGATCTCTTGATGGACCTGTGTTGGCTGTGCTTTTTACAGCCCAGTTGCTAATAAAAAAATCAGATTACCTAATTTCTCTGGCATTTTAACAGCCGAACTCACAGCTATTTATCAGGCTCTGATCCAAATTCGGAGCATGCCACCAATTGAAGCATTAATACTATCTGATTCACTTAGTTCCCTCAACAGTATTGCTTCTTTAAACCCCAAAAACTCTCTAACCTGCAGCATTCGAGATCTAGTATATAAACTTACTGAAAGAAACTACAATGTTAACTTTATGTGGATTCCTGGGCACTCTGACATTGCTGGTAATGACCGAGCAGACAAACTGGCTAACGAGGCAACGCTCTTACAGAATATTGAAGGAACTCCATCCGTTGTCGATTTCAGAAATTTCTACAAAAAAGTGTTCTTCAGTATACTTCAAAATGAATGGGACATCCTCGAGGGAACTAATAAACTTAGATCACACATGCCACTTCTTCATCTGTATCAAAATATATATTCTCTTGAACGCGGATCTTTTTGTAAAGTTGTTAGAATCCTCACAGGACACTCATATCTTACCAAATCATATATTATCAGAAATGAGCCCCCTCCGAAATGCACCTTATGCTATAACTTAATGTCAATGAGACACATTCTTTTTGAATGCTTACCTGTTGCCTCCCATAGGTCTAGATTCTTTAATGCTGTTACCTATGAGAATATTTTCGCGCCTTTTAACATTTCGACGATTAAAAAAGTTATGGAATTCTTAGACAGCATCAACATAATGAATCTCTCTCTCTCTCTCTCTCTCTCTCTCTCTCTCTCTCTCTCTCTCTCTCTCTCTCTCTCTCTCTCTCGATGGACCTGTTTCTTGTGTTTAAATTTTCAGGGAAGAAATGCATGTGAGGGTAAAGATAATGCACTTTAATATTATTATACTTTAGTGCATTCCATGGCCTTGTACACTAAGCAATTTCTCGATATGAGCGACATACTCAACAATTTTGGCGTTAATCCAAAAAGGTCTTACACATATTTTGGAATGCAAACTGAGCGCGTTTTTATGTTCAATTCAGGTGTTTATTTACACCTGAATTGAACATAATTCAGGTGTAAATAAACCTCAAAAAATGAATTTTGGAAAAAGTGTATATAATCTACAAGAACACCTTTCTTGATGACCTCTTTAATCATAAATATCTTTTTCCGTAGGCTCTAAGGCTACTATACTCTCCGAGATACAGCCGAGAGTTATTCTTAGTGGAACACCCGGAACATGTAAATTTTTCCATGTAAAAGAATAAAGAAAAAAACGCTGAAACATCACATTCATCTTTAATCACAATCATATCAGTTTGACAAACACCTAAACAGTAGTAAATAAACATATTTTTTCATTGGCATTACGCCTGCCTACGCGTGTAATTCTCGTGAATAAAACCCAATTGAATATTTGTTTCAACTGCAAAACGATGGTCTTTGGTGCGTGAGCGTCAGCTTGAACTCGCCAGCTTCGTTTAATTACTGTCGTAATTACACAAATTAAAAACTTTACCGAGAGTTTATCGTTGTTAACAAACGCACTAATTCCAATTTGGATTCTTCCTTTTTTGGCCATTTAATCAAAAACTGACTCAATAATTAAATAATCGTCCATACTTTCTTATTTAGCACACTTTTATGTTAATGCATGGGTAATCATTTTTAATTTTACTACTGTTTTATTTTACTATATCTAGTTTATGCACGTAGAATCTAAATAAGTAAAGTCAAGAACGGTTGGACCGACTTTAATGATCTCTGATTTTTTGGATTCGTATATTCCTCGAATAGCACCATTAACTATTAAAATATCTGAAATATTAACGGAGAAAAAAAAGATTCATATTCATTTTTAATATTAGGTTTGGGACTCAATTGGACTGATTCAAACGAAAATAGTGGAAACAAAAATAGTGGATAGTTCACATATGACACAAACATAGTTTTTTTTTAATAGAAACCATAGTTGTCCATGATTTCATAAAAAGCGCCATTTTTTAAGCTTTTCAGTGATATAAGCTATATGTTTATTTCGAAAAATTACTGAGTTATAGACAATTCTTATCTTTCTTGGATAATTTCACTTAGTTATGGTATTCTTATTCTGTTATGATTTATAACTTATAAAAAGACAGAATATAATATTATTAAACGGTTCTTTGCAATTAACACAAACTAAAACTTAAAAAAAATATCACTACACACACTTTAAGTTATTTTAGAAAACGTTCAAAAAATCCGCCATTGTTTTGAGTACATAAATGCATCTTTTTAATAATGAAGTACTAGCTATTCTCACAGAACGACCGGTCGACTTAATTAAATTTCTCTTAATTCATAAGTTCTTTTGTAAACCTTGTTATTAACCATACCACATAAAAAAAATCCAAAATGGATGATAGGTCAGGTGACCGAGGAGGCCCATGCAATTGGTCCACCTCTTCCTATCCCTGAGTTTGCATCTTTGAATTTTTATAAAACTAAATTACTAGCTATTCTCACAGAACGACCGGTCGATTTAATTAAATTTCTCCCGTACCGCCTCCTATCCCTGAGTTTATATAACTATTATATAAATAATTTTTAACATTTCTTTCATTATGGGGGGGGGGAGGGAGGGAGTCATAATGAAAATCATGTTGGAACCATTATATTATATTGATGCTCAAATATCTAAATTTAACTTTTCTAACATGTCTTGAAATCCGTTCCCTAAAAAACGTAAGTAACGTTCACCGGTCAACGTATCCTCGAAAATGTATGGCCAAGGAAAATCCTACTCGCTTTTCTTCATTTGAAAAATTCATATTCATATTTACAATTTTTGTTTATTTTAATTTACAAAGTTTAGATGTGACAGTTTCACTGTTGCTGAGTGCAACGACGATTGAACTTGTTTCCTTGGCTAACTAAGTCAAGTTGTTTAAAAAATTATAAGAATTGACTATAACCAAAACTCAGTAATTTTTCTAAAAATAAAAAAAAATAAATTGTGTAACTAGCGTAAAAAAAATTATGTAACTAGCGCAAAAAGGACATATTTGTTGTACGAAGCATGAGAGACGAAATCGAGAGCTGAAATAAGTGCAACAAATATGCTTTGTGCTCATATTGCACACAACATTTTTTCTACGATCGATTTAAATGTTTATTAAAAAGTTTTTACATTAATTCACAGAATAATGTTAAAACTAACAATGAATTTTATTTTTTTAACCATGCTTTTTGCAACCATACTTCGCCCACATAGTCACTATCTTTTTTCTTAGTGCAATAAAGACGTTTTTATTAGTATTTATTTATTATTATTTTTTTGAGTTCATTTTAATTTCAGTGTCGCAGTTTGAACAATTCACTAAAGTAATTAATGGACAAACTTCATTTCCAGTAGTCTTTTGAATTTTGTCTCGGGTTCTTCTTTTTCACTTTTTTTTTCAAACTCTTTTCCGGAATGTTACTGCGATATGTTCAGTACTGGTACTAGGTTTACATTCCAGGATTTGAGCAGCTATTTAATTTTTTTGGAAAGTGACTCTTCAATGTAACCCTTAGCTACATTTGAAGACTTGCATCCTCCATGACGTTTTAGCGTTAACATGTCTGCCCCAGATTCCACAAGCAGTGTTGCAGAAGATCTGTGGAAACAATGTCTGTATATTCCATTGGATCTTCAATATTAAGGTATTTTGCAATGTCGCTGAGGATTTTACTGAAAATATTCACTCCAACAGGTTGTACTGGGCATCTCCCATTAAAATTTCTTATAAAAAATCTATTATGGCTGGTCTATATATCTATTTTTCTAGAAATCTATATCTATATTTCAATAAAATTAAAACTTCTAATTTTACCGATTATTACAAATGATCGAAGTTTGTTCGTCATGCTATCAAGAATTTTCACAATTATGATCCACCCATTTCGTTATCATTTAATGTTAGTCTCGGCAACTCGTCCCTGCGCCATGCTTCTGCTATGCCAAATACTGTAACTATCTACAATAATATAATAAAAGTAAGCAGATATAAATTTTATGTAGCTAAACACTGTACTGTTACCTTCATAATTATATATTTATTATCTGGAGCTTGAATTGAAAATTTGTCAAATTCCTGTCGAGCAAAAATTTTTGATTTTTTGGGACGGTATCCAACAGACTTCTTCAGAAATTGAATTAAATTGGTGAAATGTAGGATAAGACTTTGTGGCGACCAACAAAAGTATACTTACATTAGGAACAATACTCGGATCAACAAAATCAAGGTACAATTTTTTTTCTGTTTAGTTAAACTCATCATTCCGTCAATCAGTCCACAAAATTGACAAAAAAAACTCTCACTTTACTGTTAGGCGGTACGAACTAAGCCGAGTCAGCTAGTTATTAAATAAAGTAAGAAGTAAGTAAACGTTTTTCTGAAACTTAAATTTCACTTATCTTTAATATGACCCTGTCATTACGTTAAACAAGCCATTAGTCAAACAATAGATGAAGCGAATATAAAAAAGTGTATACTCGGGCAAAATTATTATACTTGGTCGGAGTTCCAAACGAAAAACGACGTCGAAAGACCATCGAAGAAGAAAGATCTCGCACCGAGACTATTATTAATTAGCCGAATGCCGTGGAATGCAGTAGACGCTGCTGGTCTTTTGTGTTCCAGCTAATTCCTTACGCCCTCGACGAGCAATGCCAGCGTGCGACACGACAAAAAAGACGCCAGCTCGTGTCATCCCCTTTAAAAGGGTTTTCTCCACAATTAAAAACGCCATTTTGAAGAGAAAAGTATATATTCTGAGCGTGTAATTAACGATGTTGGTAATTAAAGAGAAGAAGAGGCATTTAGGAACTTCAGTTCTTAATTTTAATTTAATATTTCGTATTTATATCAACATAATATAA